TGAGGCGTGATGGTCCTGATTTGAGATTTGTTATGTCGTCCATGTACCAGCGAATGAAAATATCTTGTGTTGCGGTCTCCCTCACATATCCTACGAGAGCCGGCCTTTTGCTTCCAAAAACCTTCTTCAATAGCTAAGGTTCTATTCAAATAAGCCTGTGCATGATGAAGTGAGGCATGGTGCTCAGGTGTAGGATCAACCTCAAAATCAATCTCTGCCTGATCAACCTTCTCCTCAGGGTCTCTAACTCTCTGGAACACATCACGAAATACTCTTCGATTCCACCACCTAAGTCCATGTTTCAGTCTAAAGAATTTCTCCCAGAGGGCAGCCATTCCTACAAGATGAGTACGGAATGACCACTTTTGAGAAATGAAGGCTGAGAAGTCATGATGTTTGGTCCAAACATTGAGGAATCTAAAGGGCGAGGGCCAAAATCATCATCGGAAGTCCACTTTAAAAGTAGAGGTGAATGATCAGATGAAGTGCGATTCAGATGAGTCATAGTAACCTGTCTACAAAAGTCTGCAGCTGAAGAGTTAATCAAAATTCTATCCAATCTCTTACTGACCCTGCCATTCGTCCAGGTAAACTGAGACCAAGAAAAGCCAGCATCCTCGAAGCCACAGTCCAACATCATATCAAAAAAATCAGTAGAACCGCNAAAACTCTATCCAATCTCTTACTGACCCTGCCATTTGTCCAGGTAAATTGAGACCCAGAACAGCCAGCATCCTCTAAGCCACAGTCCAGCATCATATCAGAAAAACCAGTAGAACCACGATTTTGACGACTATGACCAGTACGCTCACCATCATGTGTAATGATGTTAAAGTCACCCCCAACAAACCAAGGATCATCCATAGAGAGGGAAATGTGGTGTAGACCCGCCCATAAGTCCCTCCTAATATAGGCCTGACAAGCAGCATAAATAGAAGTCAAATAAATAGGACGTGCTAGCCTGGGATCCACAACTTTGACATGGAGGAACTGGCTATGATCCTCAATAATAGTAACGGTAGTACCATATTCCAGAATACCCAAATCTTGTTCGACTCATTCTGGACCCCATTGACGAAATGCAGATAACGACGAACAAAATCACACCTCCT